TCGTTCCAAATACTAAAGTCCATTGGGTTTTTTTTGACATATTTTAGAAAGTCCAAGGGTTTATTTGTTCCAAAAAATTGTCCAAGGGTTTAATCATTCCAAACAGTAAAGTCCATTGGATTTTTTTGAACTTTTCCCTTCTTTTTAACTTTTATGTTTGCTAATTTCAATCGGCTGGATTATTCTTTCTATAAGATTGAGAAACTTTTTATTTAGGATAGTTTTTTATAGGTATAAAGAGCATGTTTTTTAATTATGAGGGAAAAAATTAAAAAAAAAAACTTGAATTTTTATATAAAACTACCTCTTAAAACATTACTGAATAAGTCAATTTTTATATCATTAAACTGCAACCAAACAATCATATATAGCTCATCGAATAAGCTGTAAATTTCATTAAGTTAAGAAATAAGTTTGTACCCTCTAGAAATATAAAAGACTAAGGAATGAGAATTACCTCATTTGATGTTTGCACTTTTTAATTTTATTTTATTATATTTGATTTTAGATCAGCTTCATATTAGTTTTTAATTTCTTTTTTATTAAACTAGAAGAGTATTCGTGCAATGCAGCGAGACACATCTCGATTTTAATGTTCTATTTTATTGTTTGTCTCTATCGATGTTATAAATACGATTTTATGTGTTTTAAAGAAAGCAATAATGATTTTATTTTTGAATAAAATATAAATTTGAAGATAACATAAGAATTTGAAAAATAATATATCAATGTTGATATCAAATCAACTAATTCAAAAGTTCTTATTTTTATGTAACTTTTTTAATTTATTTTTTTATTGTAATTTAATTTAAATTTAATAATGAAATAATTTATTTTTGGTTTAATATTGTAAATTTTATGATGATAATACTTAAGTATTCTGTTAGAATTCAATGACCATCCTAGTTATATTTTATATTTAAAATGAGATGTTTATCATGTATATGATTATGTTTATCTGGCAGTTAGTTATACGGATTTAGATATGGAGCTTTAATAAGTTGTACTTACGCACAATCTACTTGTAATATTGAGTTTTAAGTAATATGCATTAATAAACAGTATTTTACGTATAA